ACATTAGTGGTAGCAGCCATTTTCTATTTCATGTTGTCTTTTTCAGAAAATAGACTGGCCCCCTACAATGAAATAACTGCCAATTATAGAGTTCCTGCTTGCAAAATCAATTTAGAAAGAAGACTGTAATAAACATGATTGTATCTACTTCTAGGACTATAAAACCTACCTGGACTTTGTGCTTGCATTAGAAAACAGAAAGGAGCCTGCAGCTCTGCAATATGTTTTCAAACTGCTTGATATAGAGAACAAAGGACACCTGAATGTCTTTTCCCTTAACTATTTCTTTAGGGTAAGTCTCTTTATACAAGTAGGCCATTTTCTGTGTTTATAGTGTTATAGCCTATGTACTTCTGCATGCAGATCTGCAGGAAATCACTTTAAATTACCGATAGCCACAGGGAGGCTAGTAATGACTTTTAAGAAGATTTAAAATTAAAAAAAAAACCAACCAAAAATTGGAAAGATTTCAAAAGGTATTTTCAGCAGTTTATCTGCAGTTGAAATTAACTGATTTTGGTTAGGAAAAGTATTTTCTATTGATTTGGGTTTGTTTTTTAATTGAAATTGTCTTAAAATTGCCTAATAATTACCTATTAAAATCTCTTATGATGGTTCTAATTGGTTATTGCCATTGGTTTTAATTTCCACTGTAATCTTAAAATTCAGTAGAAGAAACGAAAATAATGAAATGCAGTGATGGGCCAGTACAGCTGGGGGATTTTTCATTCACTGTATTGCTTGCCAAAAGCTTCTGCATTTTTACCTGTTGTTTCCAGAATCGATTTTAAATAGATTTTATAGGAAAGTTTTGTTTTGTTTAACAAACAAACACCACCCACCCCAGCCCCACACAAAAAAAACCCCAACAAACCAAATAGACAAAAAAAGGAAAAACAAAACCCAACTTTTTTTCTTTTAGTGCCTTGGAACTGTTGCAAAGCAGTTTAAATTTAGTAGTAGAATGGCTAAGGCTTAAGTAAGAGGGTAGGCCTAGAAAGCAACACTTTACAGTAGTGAGTTAAGCAGCAGCCTTGTTCGTGGGAATAGAATGTACTGAAGAAGTAGAAACAATAATCAAAAGATTTAGTCAAGCATGTACGTAATGATTTGTACCTTAGATGTGGTAAGGGTCTGTTAAACAGTTTCTAGGGGGGTAAGACAACTTAAGCAGATTTATGATTAGAGTAGATGATTGTTAATTGTTATAAACTACTGCACCTGGTTTGCTATAGAAACTGTAATTGTTTTAGCCGTGAGAATACATGTAAACTTGTTTGTGTATAAAAGCTGAACTGAGAACGAGGGTCGTTGGAACCCTGTCTTGGGGCGTTAGCCCGCAGGTTCCCGGGGCCCCGAATAAAGCACCCATAAACCGGCACTTTGTTGGTTTGTGTCTTTGTTTACGGGCAACAGAACCACCTAGTAAATTATGTGGAATGGACCTTTGGAGGTCACCTGCTCCGTCTGCTCAGAGCAGGCCCAGCTCCATCGCTAGGCTGAATTGCTCAGAGCCTTGTCTGGGCAAGTTTTGAATCTCTCCAGAGAGGGAGACTCTGTAGCCTGTTTGGGTAGTCAGTGCATTCTGGTTTTTGACTACCCTGGCTGAGAAGAGTTTTCCCCTTACCCCTTCTCCCACTTTTTCTAATTGGACTGCCTCTTGCTGCAGTCAGTGTGCTCTGCCTCTCGCCCTTTCACTGTGCGTCTCCAAGACAGTCTTGCTATGTTGTCTCTAACCACCTGCTAGGTAGTTGAAGGTAGTAATTAGATTTTCCTCACCCGCTCTTCAGAGGAATTAATCCCCATCTCAAACCTCTCCTCTCAGCTGTGCTGTGCTGTAGCCCCTGAAGCATGCTGATAGCCCTGTACTAGGTTCCCACTGGGTTGTCAGTGTCTCATAAAGGGGAGCCCAGAGCTGTTGAGGCTGAATTTGGAGTACTGTGCCAAATGTTGTCAGGAGGAACAATCATTTCCCTGAACCTGCTAGGTGTGCTTGTACTAATGCAGCCCAGTATTTATCTGCCTTCATCACTACAAGGTCACCCTGCAAATTCCTATTCAACTTCCTGTGGACCGAGACCTCCAGCACCTTTCCTTCCAAGCTGCTCCAGCCAGCTGGCCCAAGGAGCATTCTGCTGCATGGAGTCATTCTGCTGCAGGACCAGGCAGGAGTTCTGTGGGTGCCTTTTGAACTTCATCATGAACTTTGTTTAGTAGTTGTAGCTGCCTTATATGCTTCATGGGCAGCTGTCAGATGATGGCTTGGCAATACTAAGCATCCTACGGAAACTAAGCAATGACTTGTCTTCCCTCCCTGCTTTTATAGCTCACTATTTTCCCAGCGCTTACTCCGGTTCCGTTCATGTGGATATAGGATTCAGGGAGGCCAGGAGCCATATAAACTGTCTCTCATTTTAATAAAGGCTGTTAATTTACAGGTTTACATTTTACAAAAACATGAACTTTAGTGTTGTCATAGTACATAAGTGATTCTAATATGAAAGCAATTTAACAAGGTAATTTTGCATTAGTTATGGTGGCGTAGCTGGTTTTGTGCAAGTCTTCAGTTACTACTCTATGGCTTAGTTATTGAAAAAGCTCCTTCACTACAGCAGATACTTGATCGTACTCCAAAATGTGTCCCTCCTTTCAAGTTTTGGACATGGAATGTTGTAAGTTTTCCTTGAAATCAGAACAGTTCCTTTTGGCTCTGAATAGTTGCTTTCCTGCTAGTGTTGTGTGAGAACAGGTCAGCACCTACAGAGGCTGTGCTGATACAACTATGCTGACAAGGCTGCGCCCCTTGTGCTAGTGAAACATTTTTGTCTATAGTTGTTCCTTGAAGACATAGGTTTGGTGATGCAGGTGTTTAAATAGTACCACATTAAAAGAATTAATTTGTCTTTCTGCTAATTGGTCTTTTCCCTTCTCTCTTTTCCTACCCTGTATTTCATACTGTGTCAGAAAATGTAACCTTCTGGTTAGGGTGTATTAGTACCTTAAGTTTTGAGTGTTGAGGGATAATATTCAAGTGTCTGAATATCCCATTTGCAGAGTGCTTAAACGCTGGTCATAATGAAAGTGGGATTCTTATCATATGCATTAAGAAGTGTGAACCTGAGATGTGTATCATTGATAATGCCTTAACTCACCCCTGCCTTACCTATGGAAGAAAAATGATTGCAAGCTGTACCATGAATGCTTTGTTACAGGGCAATACAGCTTAAGATGCAGAAGCATTAAAAATTTTCACACAGTGTCAGTATATACTGCACTAGCCATTCATAACTTCTTTTTTTTCTAGGCTATTCAGGAACAAATGAAAATTCATGGACAAGAACCAGTTTCTTTTCAGGATGTCAAGGTTAGCTTTACTGAATAAAGTATTACATGAAATCTTTGAATAAGCATTTTGTAATTTAATTACATCATAGTTTCTAGGTTTTGTATAACTACTTGCAGAGTAGTAGAGATGAACTGGCTTGTCCTACTCATAGGTTTGAAAATGTCTTTCTATTCAGCTGTTGCTCTGTAAGATACTTGTTAAATACATGTTGCTTTTTCTCACACCTGAAGGAACTTGCTAAGTCCATTTTACAGTTCAGGATCATCCCTTGGGAGCGGGGGGAGGCAGACTGGTGACTTAAAAAGCAGCTTATAAAACTGTCTTTATTACTGTCTACTTTATATTTAGCAGTTTTAGTACTTAAAAAAAAAGTACAAGAGGTTCTACAAAAGTTAGCTTATACAAGTGAACAGAGTTTTTCCTATTGCCACTTTTGAGGCCAAAGCCTCCTCAGTAAGGAAAATTCTTATTTGAGAGGTGGGAGCTGAGCACACTGCTCCTAACTGTAGCCAGTTAGTGTGCTTTGTATCATAAGTGCTTTGGGACTTACTAGCTGCTTTTTTGTAAATTGGTGTGGGTGGCACTAGTTACCCAAAGATCATACAGTATGAAATAGCCATTATTCTGCTCATTAATATGGGGGGGGCTTCTCCCAATTTTGACTTTTCTTTCATAGGATGAAATCTTTGATATGGTGAAGCCTAAGGACCCTTACAAAATCTCCCTTCAAGACTTGATCAATAGCAGTCAAGGAGACACTGTTACCAGCATTCTAATTGACCTGAATGGGTTCTGGACATACGAGAACAGAGAGGTCCTTGTGGCAAGTGATAATGACAACACTGCTGATGTTGATGATGCGTGACTTCGAACTGGAGCAGACTGTATCCATAGAGATATCTTAATCTAATGCACCAACTGTTGGGAGCTGGAAACATTCATTATCTGAATCAACTCCTCTTCCATTTCACTTCCCTCCCCTTCCCACCTTGCCCCCAAGTATGATGTAAAATGTGGTACGTGCAGGAATCACAGAAATAATTTCTGAAACCAGAAAAAGCAAGTGTTAAGAGGCAAAAATTATCTTTTTTTTAAAATAAATATTTTTTGACTTTTTTTCATGTGTAATAAGCCCTATTCTTTTTTAAATGTGCTATTCTAAGTGTGAATATACCCTGAAAGTAAGGATGTGGTTCTTGGTGTCTTCAGCACTGGTGCCTTGGTGTCTTCAGCCATTCCAAGCCTCCCACTGCATTCTGTATGGCTTCCTCTAATGACAGCACTGTTGAGTACTCTGTTGTGAAAGCAGTCTTCAGTAGGAGAATAATAATTTAGGCCTTTTTCTTCTATACATATCCATCTCTAAGTGGCTTAACAGAAAGGATAAATCATTGAACTGACTGAATAGTTACCTGACTTTTAAGAGGTTTATTAAAAGAAATAAAACTGCAGTAGCTTTAGGCCTAGTTAAAACTAATCCAAACACCTGTATTGAGGCTTTCATCAACTTAACCTCCTGTGCAAGTATTTTATGTAATCTAAGTTAATTGTACAGCTGAGCTGCAGCAGTAGTTACAGCTGTGAAACTCTTTAAGAGAGCTGTAGAAATGTTTCAACTTTCAGGTAGGATTACAATAGCTCCAGGCCAGAAGTGTTTGCAGTCCTGCATTATTTATTAGTTTGAGGTAGTGCTGAACACACAGAGTACTACGTGGGACTCTTAAGGAAGGGGTGGGGTAGAATGATATTTTGAATTCTGGTGCCTGAATATTCAACCAGGATGTGTGACTTAGTAAAGATGTAAACAGTGAACAGGCACCTGTGTACAGGCATAAAGTTTCAAAGACCACACAGTTGTAAAAGAAAAGCCATAACCAACTTCCAGTTCAAAAATTATATTAAATATAAAATAACCAATTAATGCATTTACAGAAAAATTAAACCAATATGAAAGTAACAACTTTCATACAGTTTGCAAAAAACTGAAGGAAGGATTAAGTTAAGGCACAGTGAGTAATAAGAGTATTTTATACAAAGAAGTTTAAACCCAAGGCAGTGAGAGTATTTCTGATGTAACAAATACTAGGGAGAGAAGGTAAAAAAACCAACTGACATTAATTTCTTGGAAGAAAAGTAAAGCATCCTTCAGCTGTCAAGGTATTACTCAAGCAACGTGAGGCTTTCTATCTCTGACAGTATAAGAACTCTCAACAAGCTGGTTTTCTTTGTATTCCCCAGGTGTTGAACCAAGCTCTCGTTTGCACATGTTCAGGGCTAAGGAATGATTTTAGGTCAGCACCCTCTATCTTAAAATTCTAAAAGAGGCAAAGTATCAAAACAGAAGAGATGATGACTGAATCCTCTTCCTCACATTTTCTGTAGTGATGGAATGCTGCAGATAGATGAGAGGAGGAGTTTGTGCTGCCCAGGACACTAGTTCAGGCCGAGGGGTGTCTGATATACATAACTCTGGAAAATAATAGCCAAGTTACCTGGCCTGTGGTGTTGCATCAGGCTCCTTAGTTAGTTGGCAGTGAAAGCAAGGCCAGGAACATGTGATGATACCCAATGCAACACTAGACTGTTTTTAAAATTTTTTTTGGAAATCTCAAGGGCAGAAGTAATGGTACCTATATGTATAGGTCTGTATATATGTATATTTATACACATATGTATATATAGGTATATGTATATATAGGTACCATGGTACCTATACCTAGTGCAGGTTCTCTGCTCCTTTACCCACAACAGTTCTCCATAGAAATGCCTAGGGCACTGACATCTGGTAGTTGCAAAGTAAACCATTCACCTTTTACCAGCTACAGGTGCAACAGTCATTTCAGTAAAATCGCCTTAATCGGTATTTGATTTGGAGCTGCCTGCACTTCACTTGGGACAAAAATAAAAATTACTGTTGCTGCATGTGCCGTATCAGAACACACTCTGTTTATTTAAGAGAAGGAAAGAGTCACAAGTTTGTTTTGTGGTTTCTCGTTATTTAGTATTCTGTGCTAGAGGGGAGAAAAATACCTGCAGTGGCACCTCCCTTACTGGTAATTTAACATTAAACACATAGTTTGTGTAGGTCGCTCAAGTACATGGACTTGGGTAATCTACGTCCGAAAAAGTTTTCATAGTTCTAGACTGGTACCATACAGAGTGTTCAGTGCACTCAATATAATTTAGCAAGACTTTAGTTTCTTTCCCAGGACCATTGAGAGTATGGATTCAAGCACGTGGGTCTCTTAATTCTTGGACTTATAGTGGGAATGTCTTACAATAGTTCTGTACTTTGCTACAGCATTGAATGGAGCAGCTGAGCACTATCAGCCTCCAAGAGTGCTGGTACTTGTTACTAAGTTCTTGGGGGTGTTTATAGCCCCCTGGAAAGTTTTTTTTTTTTAAATAAAAAAAGTCAATAGACCCTTAAATCTAATTAACATTAAATCTAACAGTTTCTCTTATGTTAACAACAGAAAAAGATACATGCATACAGTAGCGACAATAAATAGGGGAAATCAGACTCTTATTATTGTGAGTTACAGGATATTAATTCCTATTAATCTATTCATAGAGAGCCGAGTTGCAAACAATGTGCAAATCAGAAACAGGTGTTTAGAAGTAGGAAACAGCACTGCCTCTGCAATCCACAGGTGTTAGAGACACAGCAATTCAAAGAAAAGACATTTTTACTTGCTTTACACAGAAATTAGCTCACACATTCAATTTTAGACCAAATGTTTGTAGTGCAATTTTCATTTTAACTGAAGTGCCAATTTGGCAGAATGCCTCAGCCTTTATTAGGCAGACAGAACTGACATTGCCTAGCTCTCTCCTGATCAATAAGAATGGTAGGAGTTGTATTTCACTGAACAAGTATAATCCTATTTTCCTGTTTATAGCCAGATTGTGACACCTGACAGTTCTTATTTCCTACATTATACAGAGCTTTACACTTAAGGAGGGACGGGAACTACATCTTGTTTATTTTTCCCAATGGACGGGCAATCTCCTTCATTTTCAAAGTTTACATTCACGAATGAAGAGCACGCTGTTGCTTCAGGCTGGTCTGTCTGGACAGGAGCTTCAGCCTGTGGCTTGTTCTGCTGTTCCTGATGCTGTCTTTCTGCTTCTTCTGACATCTTGTTTTCCTGTTCCTCCTCTTCCTCCTAGAGAGATAACCAGATTCATATGCTACTATTTACCACTTATTTACATTAACTTGGAAGTCTTTCCATAAGAGCATACCAGTTCCTATTACAAGGCAAGGACATTAGTTCTCCTAGAAAACAGTTATTACCTGATCATAAGATGACATATATTCCAGAATTTCCATCATGGAAAAAAAATCACCACAAGTGAAGGATTAAACCATGTTAAACGAACAAAAAACCAAACCATTTTAAACAAACCAAAAAAAGACATATATCTAGATAAGCAGTTTTTAGTTAATGGCAATAGGGATAGGTCTACCTTCTCTAAAGTTTTTTCAGCTCTCAATAACAGCTATCAAAAAATAAGTAATAAAGCTTTAAATATGTTTTCCACCTCTTCCAAATGAAGGTTGCTAAGGATTTGGGATTTTTTGCCTAAAGCACTGGCTACTTTTCAGTCATGTCCAGTTATGGTGGTAGCATAACTGTTCTATTTACCCTTGACACTGTGTTGAACAAGTTTTAGAGCTGGAAAGTATACTGCTAGCAACCACCTCCTTATAGTGTTCAGCAAAACTGTCCATCCAACTTTCCCACACTGTTGACTTGAAAATGCATTGTACAAGAGAAACAAACAGAGCAGTGGTCAGGACTCAGCCATCTAGGACTGATAAGCTGGAGAGAAAAGGCTGATGGCTAAGTAAGCACTAACCATGCATCAAATGAAAACTGAAGGCAAGCTGAAATTGGGGGTCTTAAACTTCATTTAAATGCTAGAATACAAATATTAGTTTTTAAAATACCAGGGAAGGCAAGTTGGGAGAAAAGGAGTGCAAGAACCCTATCTCACACACATACCTCTCTCTTCATTCTGTAATACTCATCAATTGCATATTGGTATTTTGGTGTGCTTATCCCCAGAACAGATGCAATCTTTTCCCCAAGGAAATCACATACTAAAAAGTAAAAAGAGATTTACATATGATTAGTATCTAGAAGAAAATTCTTAAGCACCATTTTATTTTTAAAAGTCTCACTATCTTTCCTGAATGGTTTTCCGTAGTCCTACTTCACTGAAAAGATAAAACCAAAATCTGCAAGGCTAATCTACTTATAGGTAATTATTAGCTGAATATACTAATAATTGTTCTTTAAGATAGAAAATGAATAAAAGGAGAAGAAAATGAAGTTCAGTGAAAATCTAGATGGTGGTAGTGTTTGTATTCTGCTAGTTTCAGCTTTGAATCTAAGTTCATTTTGCTAAGAATCAGTTAAAGGATAATTTTAACTGAAAATTAATGTTAGACAATACATGGGTATCAGCTGTATTAGTTCAGTCTAGTGGTACTAGAAACTAGACAGTTATTTATTGATATGTGCATATGTCAAGTCAGTTTTAACAATGCTCTGTGTTGCATACTAATGGATTAATAAAATATTTAGGTTTCAGTTGTCTCAATTTTCAAGCTGTAGGCTACATGCAGCACTACTGTGCTAAAGCAGGTAGTGCACAGTCATAAGTATGGAACAGGGAGGGCTTGTGTCAGTCAGTCTCTTTACCATGGTGATGGCTACAGCACTGGTTCTTGAGTAAAGGCAAGCAAGAAGTCAAAAGTACTGCACTTCCAATTGTAAATCTGCCCTAAGGAAGCAAATGTGTTAGTCATCTTCAGGGGAAAAAAGTCAGAAGTTAGCAATTGACTGCTTCAATGAATATTCACAATAACTAATCTTACAGATATCCTGGCATCCCCATTTTTGTGCAAAAGACTAGTTCAAATTACAAATATAAGAGCCAAAACTGAAGTGGGAAGAAGAAAGTAGTAATCTTCAAATTCATAAAACACTTCTGAAAAAAGGAAAGCAGCATCTACCTTTGTGTATGAAGAACAGATGCGTCAAGGAATAGAATTACTCTGTACATTAAAGTGTTTCTCAAAATAAGGATAGGTTAATTAATAAAAACAGACTGCCAATAGTTTTTAGAAATATTCAAAACTAGGTGTACAATGACAGAAACTCCGTAATATTTGTCAAAAAACCCCAACAAAGGTACTCTACACCTTGGAAAAAACACAGACAAGGATAAGCATTTTTAAAACTGAGCAAAATTTTATGAGGTCCACGAGTCAAATGAATTTCTAAGCAAAGTTTAAGACCCTTGACAATGGTCTTGTTTATTTTGTAACCTCAGATGTTCGTTGTATGGCACATTAGATGTGTTCTTGGGATGATCTCTAGATGTCTTTTTCAGAAAAACTGTCAGTTTAATTATTCCAGACAGCATTCTTTCCAGATAACATCACACAAAATGGTTCCATACAAAACCTAATAGAAAGTTGCCAACACCAACATATCTTCATATGAAGAAAAAGGGGAAAAGTTTTGATCAAAAGAGTGTTTTCTGTTCATTCTTCCACGCAGGAGTCGGTGATTGAAAGCAAAAAATTTTTTAAAAAGTGTCTGAGGTAAGACAGTATGTCTCCACAGATTAAATAGAGTTGATTTACACTTTTGAAAAAACAGCAAGTAGAGCCCAAAGACGACTTACAGTATGCCATGGTAACTCTGTGACTTTCAATATTCCATTACTGGTTTACCAGTAAATAAAGCAATACCTGATAAAGTTGATGTTGCGACTCGCAGCATGTGAAACCACAAGTAGGGTCCCCAGGTGAGCGTTGTCTGTAGGAACAAGAGTAGTATGAATATGTATAGCTGTATGTTCATGGCACAAAATAACACATGCAAAACAGCTTGAGAGGAAAGATTTGCAGTGTTTCCTGTTTGCCAGCTGCCACAATATTTTTGCTTTAAAATAACTCTAGACCAGACAGATAAAGCAAAGTATCACCATAAGATCTGAATATAACCATGGTTTACCTCTGGGAAAATTTGTTTCCGTGGTTTTTGTTTCCCACTCCCAGACTTGGGAAATGACAAGCATCCAACTCAATCCCTATAACTATAAAGAGCTTTCCATAATGTTCTGAATTCCATCAGGCCAAGAAGTGAGGTGAGGTAGCCAAGTAGTTCCTCACTACAATGATGAGTGAACTGCAAAAGACTCTTTAAAACCAAACCAAACCTTCAAACCTGTGAGCAAGAGGCTGCTTCCAGACTTTACAACCAGATATGAATTATCCCTTGAAATTGCACCTCAAAAATAACACCAAGAGCCATGAGGGAGGGAGAGAGTTACTGCAGTTCTGAGGGAGAGATGGACAGGCTGACAAGCAAAGCACCTGGGGTGATGTGAACAAGGAGGAACACAAAGTGAAAAAAACAGGGCTCAAGTGGGGTCACCTCAAGAATTTGCATGTACATGAGGAAGTGCCTCTGCAGTGCCTGAACACTAAGACATACAACATGGGACATAAACATAAGAAATCAGAGATCTGTATGCAGATCTTGTTGGGACCCCAGAGATGCAGTGAATGGACTGGAGGGCTGCACTGGAGGAATACAGACTCTTTAGGAAGGGCAGGCCAGGAAGACAAAGAGGAGGAATTGCCCTTTGCATGACTATGGTATATTCACGGTCACATAGAAAATACTGCAGCCTCCAGACAAACTGATATATTTACACATAGTAACTTGAAGAAAGTTTAGCAATTAAATTTAATTAATTATAAAATAACGGGCATACTCAGGCTATGCTTTTCACTAAAGAAAGAGGCTGTATCTCTTAAAAAAAAATAAAACAACAAGCTGTGTAATAAAAAGCAAAAAGGGGAAAAGCAGATTCCAAGCTAATGGCAAAAAAACTGTAGGCTTTCACTTTTGTGAAAAGGCAAACTCAAATTTCATATTGAACTAAAACATATTTATAGTTAACAGGATGTTGTATTCAGGCAAGCTCTTTGTTATGTATGTATCCCCCAGAAAAGATCTCTGTAGAAGTACTTTTCTTGTGGAAAGTAGCAATTAAAAGTGTCAGCTTTTATTAAATAAAACACATTAGCTCTATTCAGTTACATAAATATTTATAACATGTTGCTAAGAACTCTTTGATAATAACTTTTTTCTGTGATATTATTTAATAGATATCTCTACAGGACAACCAATATTACTGTAAATAATACAGCTAGAGAGACTAGTTGGTATAGCCTCAGTATGCATGTACACAAGCTACTAGACGTCCGTGCTTTCCAAGCACAGTCACTACAAATCAGTGCAGCAATAAATTGTCTTTCAAGCCAGAAACTCAAGTTGGCAAGCTGAAAAAAAGCCAGATGCTATATCTTTTTGGCAGTGGGTATGGAAAATGTCCTGCCAAGGTAAAAGTGTAAGCAAAACCAGCTGCTATCCGGCTTGCACAAAAGCACCTCCAGCTTGTTGATTATGTGCTCAGTTGGCAGACAGGCTAACAAGGAGTTTGTTCAGCTGAAGAAGTCAAAAAAAGTGCTGGAAAAGCTTGTTGCCACAGGTGCAAATAATGGCATTGACAGGGCTCTGTACAATCCTTCATGATGAGGTGATAGGGTTAAAAAGCATTCACACAGTGTGCAGGACAAACACAGTCCTGCTGTGCCCTGTAAGAAAGAAGCTACAAGAACCCCCTTAACATTTAAGAGTAAAAACACAGGCTGAACTTCAATGTGACAGAAGTAATTTGAACCCAGAACATTCTAACAAGTTTGTGGAGACACAAACGTAGGGAACATCTGAGGCTCAGCAGACACAGAGGTTCCGTGTATTTCTACTCTTCCCCCACCACAGTTAAAAATCAGTTTGGTACATTAGAAGCATTTTTAAGTTCAGCTTCATGGGAATCTCTGCTTTCTGACAAAGCCCAACCAGATACTTCTTCACCCCTGCCAAGCAAGGCTTTGCCAGTCTCCTCAATTTAAAAAGAAACATTCTTTCCAGGGTCTCAAAAGACAATATAAAACCATGAGAGAAGCTACTTCACACAAATTCAAAAGGAGATGGCTTGGAGAGTAAACCACCAGGAACAGCCAGGAACAAGGGAATGCATTCAAGCAATCATCTTCTTTTTCCACCCATCCCCCACTTACTTCCTCAGGGCAAATCTGGGTGGCTTCCCAGAGCACCTCGGAGGTGGAAACAGAAATGGCAAATGTGAGGCAAGAACTGGTACTGGAGAAACCAGAACCATTCGAGTGATATGAACTGGGCTGTTAAGGAATGGCTCAGTACAAACTAATCCTAGCCTGTGAAGTAGCTTTAATGCACTGAGCTGAAAACTGGAAAACCATACCCAAGTCAGGTCCTACAGACCTGTAGAACAATATACTCAGACACATCAACCTCCTCTGGCCAGCCAGAGAAGCCTTCCTGTTCAGTCTTTAATCAACTCAAGGACACAGTAATACTGTATTTCTTGAATGGAAACAAGGGGCAGCAGTATGAAACACAGTACACTGGTTTATTGTAAGGGAACAGTATTTCTCCTGCCATCAGTCTCTTAAGTATATGTTTCTACAATGCTTAATTATATTACGCAGCTATCCTGACTTTATTTTGTCGTTTACAATGGAAAACACAATGGTTATGACAACTGATTTTTAAACTACAAAAAATCTTAATGTACAATTTTAATTTAAATAGGAATTAACATAATGGATTCAAACACTGATAAAACCAAGGGGCCTCTGGTTCAACAACAGAACATGATTTTGTTTCCTAGTATGGGGCTGCCAAACGGAGCACACATGGTCCCTTGAACTTCCAACAGCACCATGTTCCTAAACAATCCACATCTGTGTCTATTTTTGGCAGATTTCAGTTCTTACTAACACTTACACTTTCCAAAGTACGTAGTGTTTCTTTTTGTCAGAGAAAATGGCAAAATGGAAAAAATAATAATTTCCTGATATAAGAAAAACCAAATCCTGCATATAATAGTTAATATACACCACCAAATAAATGCTTTTCCATTGTTTACTATGCCAAGATAGGTTTTAAATTAGTTTAATTATTGACTGTTCATTGCTATAATAGGTCCTTCAGTAAATGTATCATTTATAACTGTGGCATCTAAGACAAGCCAGTGAAAACAAGATCAGAAACACACACACCATCCTTCATCAAGAGCTTCTACCATATCATGAGTAGTTATTACTTATTTTTCTCCTTCATCCCAAATTCTTGAAAGAAAAGGAGAGTTCAATGGTCCTCAAGAGAGGATTTTTTGCTATTTAAAGTTATGGGCCTTTTAACTATAGGATATCAAGATAATCTGCCTGCAAGGATGTGTTTCAATCTTTCTGAGCACTGAAGGTTAAAAAAATTAAATCTCTTCTAGAGCTTTGTTCCTCTGTTTCTCAGGATGAATTCTAGGGTTATCACACCAACAGTTATATTGCTTATGGTTCCTCTGCAAAGACACTCCACCTTCTGCCTCCTCATGTGATAGGTGAATACAACAAAGAGTTTATACCAAGTGTCCCTCCAGGGATAAACAAAAGGATTATCTTCTAGAACAGGCCAGGGAAATTTAATCAATACAGAATAAAGTTTTGGTAGACAAAAGCAAAAGGAAATTTACATATAAAGTGCAAACATATAAATTTTAAGATAGAAGACTCAAAACATTTATGCTATAAAAGCATTTCAATTTCAATTTGAGAACATTCAGATAGTACTGAAAGCTATTATCTAAAAAATAAGAATACCCTGTGCTCTGGATTCAAAAAACCAAAAAACTACAGAATGGACACTCCACTCAACAATACTAATGAACTGAGGGCTGACCTACAGAAGTATCAGAAGCTGTTTCAAAGCAAAATTTAAAATCCAGTTCTTTTTGAGAATTTGTTTTTTTCTGAGTGGTAGCAGTCCACCACACCAAGTGCTTGGTTATCATATTACCAGGATATATACATACTACTTTGCCTAGTAAGAAAGACATTGTCATTGCCTGCTTAGCTCTAAACACAATCAAAGCAAGGTATATACTGAAGACATTTCTTTACAACACAGCAAAATATTTGTTACCCTTAAACTCATTCAAAAGCTGCCAGGAAGCCAATACCAGCTGAGCTTTGAAATTTCATGATGCAAAGTTTCTATTCAAAGTATTAAATGTGCTTTTTCTAAAAATAAACTGGACCAGAAACAGCTATTACTTGCAAACATACTTTTTTGTGTCCCAACTGAGATAAGTTTTAGACATGCTGGTCTCAGCAAACAGACTATTTAATTGCTTTTATAGAAATCCTACATTAAAAACATTTTTAAAGCAGCTGTTGGCTAAAACATCAAAGCTCAGCTTGGACTAACATTTCTTCAATTGTCTGGCTCAGCTGGGATACACGAAGCATGCAGCAGATAAAGTAAACCTCACTTAATGGCAACTCCTGCTCTAATCAAGTTCATTCTGTCAAGGTAAGAAGCAATACATAATAAGGCATGCTGTGCTCCACAATAAACTATTCTGGTTTGGGGGGTCCTTTTATTAAAAAGTGTAATAAAAATTAAGGATTTAATAAACTATAAAAGGAGAATAGAGCAATCTTAACTCCACCATACAATATACCTTTTGGTATTCAGAAAAAAAAATCTGTATTAGGAAAGTAGGGGAACAATCACGCAGCATTCCTGGCTGTTGTGCACACTTGAGGGCTCTTTAGTTAAGTGTCCATTTGCACAGTAGCATGCACGTCTCTGCCCTCACAACATGTACACCAAGGCTCGTGAGCCTTCCATCGCTGCACCACAGCAGAACTCTTCTACTGCGAGGAAATGGCACCAAAAAAATTATACACATCTGGTCCCCTGCTCATTATAACTGGGGAAAATATCTCTTAGACATCCATGGATATCTGCCATGACCCACATAGCGGGGAAGAGATCTGACTCAGAAGATACCTGAACGTTACCATAATATGCAGTAAATTTCACAGTTCTTTAATTTCTCTGAGAAGATCCTTAAGGAGGAAAAAAACCCCAGCACGCAGCAAAGCAGCTTAACACCTTACTCATTGTTTGTGACTATAAGACATTTCTTTTCAGACTATAAACTTCATATGTTTTATACTGATGATATCCCACCTGCTCTCAGGCTAATATTACTTTTTGTTGTATACAAGAGCTGCCTAGCAAAAACAAGAATGCTGCCATCAATCTATACAAGATGCACTGCAACAGCTTCATCTGTGAATCACTAGAAACCCCAATCCCAGCTAAATTCCCATAGTCTTACTGCAGCTTAGTCCTCAACCCCCCTTCTTTTTTCCTCCAAGATAAATTCATTTTACAGAGGGGAAAAGAGGTATTTATTGACAATCCTCCCCAAAACAAACCTCTTATGGTTCACCACTTCTTCAGAAGAGCATGAGCAGAAAGTCAAACGCTTCACTTCAGTCCCTTCAACAAAGCCAAGCTCTCCCAGGATGGATGTACACATATAAATAAATACAGGGCCTACTACTTTAAATAGAAATCTTCAACCACAACATTTCTTAATTATGGATTGCCAAATGATGGTGCAGAAGTCCTTTCAACAACACTGTCAAGTAGAAAGCAGTGCACTGGTTTCTGTGCGTGCGAGGACTCTTCTTTCAAGTGCGGGAACAAACAGCTCTACACCAGCATCTGCCTCCAGCGTGCAACCAGGCAAGACTAGCTGCTGCACAAAGCCATGACTCCTGGATGTCTGACCACACTCCAGCACATCAGGAAGGACCCAATTTTAGAGTCTCCAGCTCAGTACAGGCATCCAAACCCAGAGAGGGCCAGGAAGGGAGCCCTGTCAGCAAGAAGGGAATAGGACTGCAGACCCAATTTACTGGGGTAAAAATTGTTGTAGGAGGGTAAAGAGGCAGTTGGGACACCACTTTCTGGGGCTGTCATGAAAGAAACATGAGACTGGTCACATGGACAGATGATGAGAAGGATGTGTCTTCTCTGGGACTGACTGCTAGAGGGTGGGGAGCTGCTGCTGCCAGTGTTAGCACATACAGCTGTGAGCTCTGCAATCACACTATCACCACAAAATAGTTTATTAAACAGGCCAACAGAATAAAACAGATTATATGTTTCATTTTACCTCTAAGTATAGAACTGGAATCATTGAGAAAAAAGGAAAATGTATTTTAGAAGCTACAATACACACTATGGCAACAGCTTTAATTGTTGAGACTCCACTTGAATCTGGACCAACAAAGGAAACTCCATTCACAAGCTGAGCAACATCTCAACATCTTACAAGACAGGTGAACATTACCTACATGGACTAGGCAGGTGCAGGTCCTTTAGAACCTGTTTTTTATACATCATGAATTACACCAGTTTTCCTTTATTTCTGCAAGTCATCTGTTTCTTTCCCTTCTATGCTCTTTTAATTATATCAAATTGCTGGTATGGTAAGTCTAAATTACAGGTTCAACTCTCCACTGTCAACAAACACAAGCAAACAAATGTCCCCCGCATTTTTTTTTTTTTAAAAAACAAATCAAGGAGATACCAAGCAAATACTATTAGAGAGGGAAATGCTGGAAAGAACAAACTGGAACAGTGAAGAAATTAAACCCACTTCTAATTAATAGGGCTATTTTAGTGGAGGAGAACTCTAGGACAAAACTTCCTAGATACAATACTTCTCACAGGTTTCTGAGTTCCTAAAGCCAAACATATCAATGGAATCTTTAGTACTGAATACTAAATCAGATTTGTAACATAAAAAATGAAGTATAAAATGTTGATAGTTACCCGGTAAACCAGAAGTAGCAATGTATCAATCAAAATACTTACAGGATCTACAGGTGGCAACAAGTCTTTTTTCTCTTGTTCATCTTCCTCTTCATCTGTGCTATATTCTTCCATTGTTTCTCCACTTGCAAAATGAATAACTCTCCTTGGAATTTTCTTCTTCTTTCCTATGACACCCAGCTCCACATTCTCAAAGCCACCATCTCCCTTTGCAAGTTGCTATAAAGAAAAAAAAATCATTATCTAAGTAGATGCTTCTGAAACTGGAAATTTTCCCCTTAAAAAATGTGATATTTAAAATATTTTAGATTAATTAGCATACGCAGTGAACATTTGAAAGAGCTTGGCTGTAGGTAAAAAATAAGACTCACACAATTTTGTGTGCAGATATGTAAAAACTGATCTCTTCTCTAAAAGTAACAAAAAGGTAAGTGCCTTTACTTCAGCATGAAAGCTGGTATTAAAAACATCTATTCCAAAAAAGCACGGCATTATATAGGAGCTTCTGGGGGAGGGCATGTTTCTTTAAATAATTTGGTAAGCATATAAGATTTAATATTGAAAAGTATTGTTGGTTTTGAAATTAATATCTAATGAAATTAATAAAATAGTTCATAGGCTGTAGCCACCTTTGTGAGCTCAGGCAGACACCTCTAGCACAAAAGAGAACTGAATAACTAAGCAGCCAGGCTCAAGCTTTAGAAAGATGCATCAAGGAATCTACCCCTGTGGGCTTTCATCATCAAACACAATTAGTACAAGGGACCATGCTAAAGGACAACACTCAGTTCTGTGGCTAAGGACATATAAAATGAGAAGTACAATATCTGTTTTTGTTCTTCCAGTGCAGTCTTTGGGTCACAAGCATTAAAAATATATACTTCTAGTTCAAAGGCCAATCAAGAACACTTTAGGCTAGTAACTCCTACAGCAAGAGAATTTTAGTATTTAGTAGGTTTTGTATTGTAGCTATCAAAACAGAGCCTTTGTCTTGGTAGAGTTCTTAGACACTACTGTATCAAATGCACAAAACTGTTCTGAAAACATTTCTGTCATGTAGAGAAGGCCACAGAGGTTAGGAAATGCCAGCCACATGTTTTTAATGTACCATGAAGGTTTTTAAAAATGCATGAGCTCGTGTAATTTGAAACTGTATCGTAAGGAATGACGTGTGTAAGTACATACAGAATCCAGGTTACATAAAATGGGTATATTTCAAATTCTGACTTCTTCCCTATGCAAAACTTAATGATCTACACAAAGCACAAATCAAAACTATAAATAAAAAAATATATTTTATCACATAGTTGTGAAACATCCCTTAATCACTGCAAGCACAGCATCACCACTCCCATTTCTCATGCTAGACTACTACATAAAACAGCTTTGCAATGCAAACAGGCTTAGTTAGCTGGGAAAGACAGTGGGCACGGGAGAGAGAGGCAGGAGGGGGCCGCAGGGAGCCAAATGGCTTTCTTCATTCCAAGCACAGATTTTTCTCATGCCCACAGAGAAGAGGGAGGGAAGGATCACGTGCAGAGCTCTACAGTGTGGACGAGAACCACACCAATTCATCATCTCTCCAAGCCCTCGTACCATGGCTCCTCAAAACTGCAAGTCATCTCAGCTTCCCCCACCCAGCATTTCTTTAGCAACAGTGGCACATTTCAGGCATTTTCCTGGAGGAGCAGAGCAGAATTCAGTAGCAAGTTTTCACTGGGGTAATTCAGCTGAAACAGCATGGTATTTTCATGCAGATTCAGATTTTCATGTAGAAAGACAAAACTATCTGGCGCTCAGTGCACTCTGCTGTCTATCAGTCTTAGGAACAGAGAAAAGCTACACAAATATGAATGCTGAAAACAGTGAAGCAACCTAAGCATAAGGAGCACTCCGTGCTGCCACTATAAAAGTGGGTACCACTTACTGTGACTCAGTTCAGTATTTTTTGGTGCAAAAAGCACCACAGAACCAGCTTTTTATGAACATTTCGTGCTCCTTTATTGGCATCATACAATGACGCTGTTTTTCATGTTTAGTCACAGTACTGCAGAGCACTATTTTTTGCTAACACGACATCATAAATACCACTGTGATTAATAACAGCAAGCAACATGAGTCCCTCCTTAGAGCTCTTCTAAAGGCACAGTCTCTTCATCTCATTTTGGCTTGTTTAATGTAAATGCTTCAAATATTTTAACTTGGAAAAAAATAATGGTTCATGTTTCAAAGTTGAAAAAGCAGCCCTTAATTCCCTGCACACCCATCCCACACTTCACTTACACTACTCACAATAAGCAGCTCTGCGCAGCTGGTACCGCTACAACATTTCAGACAAATGCAGCAATTCAAGACAATAAGAATACATCAAGGAACAACAAATCTGGTTCCAATTCGTAAATTATTAAATAAAATAATAAATATCAGCTGTTGCTTTGGTTATTACCTAGTCAACAAACGTGTGTAGGTTTTAGTTATCACTGCAGCATTTATCCTTTTCATTTTTACCTGTCAATAAAAGCCAACTCTCCCAGTTACAAGGAGAAAGTTCAGCATCAGTGAATTTATCTTTCCAAAACAGTGGCAATGCCGATCTATTCTAGAGCTGTCAGCTAGACTCACTTTATAGCTCAAATGTTACAGTATTTCCTGTTTGAGAATTTATACTTTTGATCTTCCTTCACGAATTTGATCTTCTTTTCCAATTCAGGAAGTTTTTACAAAGATCATTCTTTCAGTACATGGCTTTAGTCAAGTTTGTGACTACATTTTTTTTCCACTGGCCTGTCCTTCTCTAACACATCATATGGTTTTGAAAGACTCAGCATTTGCCTTAGCCCCACATCAAAGAAGTATCTACTTTGGTATCTGTTTGACATGAAGGCCTGTCACTCTTCTGCTTTCACCACGCTAGCTGACATTCTTAAGGTCCTTGGTAAACACTATAAAGCAACTTCCTCTTTCTTTTAAATGTCCTCTTGGAATTTTTCTTGGCTTTATGGCACACATGAAAACCTTGCCTGTCAGGAAGTCAGCATCTGAAACTGCTGTTCCTTGTTTACTCCCTTTACACCCACCCTCTTATCTCACCCTTTGGCCGGATATAGAGAGAGAGCAGGGCATCTTTCGACAGTGTTGGTACAATAATCAGCACAATAGAATTTCAGTCTACGTCTAAAATGTCAAAATAAATAAACTACAATTAAGGATAAGGTGTGCCTGGACACTTGCAGGTAAGCTAGGAGAGCTGACACAACTAATATTAGGTGATGCAATAATATAAAGTTTCACAAAGGAGAGGAAGAAGAAAATCAAAAAGCAATAGGGAGATCGCATTATTCCTTTTTGCATCTTTTAACCCATCGAATGAAGGAATTCTTGAGAGAAATTATGACCAAAAATGCCTAAGTGTGTGATGTCCACTTTTGCTCAAAAAGATGAGTAATTCAATTTGCACAGATCTACTGGTCTGATACTGCTAATCCCTAGAAGGCTGGTATTAGTTAATGAAAAGTATTTCTACCATGCTATCTTGGCTACCTTACTGATTTAATTTGTGTTAGTTTTCCTGGCTAGGGTTTTGGGGGGAGTTTGTTTAGGTTTGAGTGAGGGTGTTTTTTAATGCTTGCCTGGGTTTCCACCCTTGTGTTTCAAATTAAACAGCATGAGTCTTTCTCAAACAGAAGACAACAAAATTACAGAGTCAGAGGACGATTGTAAGACACCCTCGGAATAAAGAAGCCTTGGAAAAGCACCATAACCAGTGAAGCGGCAGCGCCTGTAACACCCAGGGCGAAGCCGCGGCCGGTGCAGGGGCAGGCGCGGCAGGACAGGCGAGCTCCGGGCTGGGTGTAATTAACAGCTGCTGTCCCTCACCATGTCCCACGCCTTCGCCAACTTCACAGCGCGGAGGGAAGTGGAAACCTGTCTCGCTTTAATATTCATCAGGCTCATTTGTCAGAGGCATTGTCCCCGGAGAACAGGAGACACCGGAGACACGCGCGCCCGCCGTGCTGGCTGTAATCACAGCGCGCTGGGCGGAGCACAGACCGGCCGACACACCGGCCTCTTCTCCCGCGGCCGGCCCCGCGCCCGCCGACGAACAGGGGCTTTGCCGCCCGCCACACCCGCCGGTCAGGCCGCAGCCACCCCCACCCCAGGTCGGACCCCCCGCGGCCCGCCCCCGCTGCGGGAAGCGGCAGCCCCGGGCCCCGCTGCTCGCCCGAAGGTGCCGGGCCCCGCCGCTCCGCTCACCTGCTCGGGGCTCCATGGCGCCGACGGCGGCGGGCCGGCGGCGGCGCGCAGTAGAGGGTATGGGGACAGCCACTGCTCCATCCTCCCGCCCCCGCGGCGGCCGGGGGGGCGGCAGCGGGCCGCCGCGGCCCGGGGGCGAGAGAGGGGCCGGCGGTGCCGCCCGTCACACCGCCCGCCGGGGCGGCGCTTTGGGCCTGCCGCGCCACCGCCCGCGCCCCGCTGGGGCTGGCGGCGCGCAGGAGCCGGGATCCACCTGGGAGAGACTGAGGGCACCTCTGGCCTTTCTCTTCTCGCCCCAGCCGGGCATCCACCGGAGCCAGGGGGAATCGGGGGAGAGGCCGAAGGCAGCCGGGCTGCCAGGCACAGCCGTACCTCCAACCCCGGAGGAAGCATACCTGCTCTGAGGGAAAACCCTAGGTTTTTCCCAAAATATTGTAAAAACGTGCAAAATAACAGAAGAATAGTTTAACAAATACATGAAGATCCTTGACAGGATTTAGGGATCCTCCTCTCCCAGGGCCACCCTTGCTCAGCCTTCCGGTGTTGGCTCAGGCAACTCATCATCTTCATGATCATGGCTAGGCTTCGCGAACAAAGATTTCGGAAGGCTCTATCTACGTTTCTCAGGCAACTCAGCACTTCGTAAAGGACCAACCCCTGGATAAGAAAGAAATGCAAACCAAGGGTGCACTGGCTCCTGAGCTTCGTTTGGGTGGGAAAGTAACACGCAGTCCCAGCAGGCAGGGAAAAGTGTTTGCCACGTAATAGGTTTGCTCAGCTGCTCCAGCAGAGCTAGGAGCACTTCTCCCCCTAGCCTGTGCCGAGGCCTCTGTGCTGCAGGTGATGGCCCAGCCGGAATAGAGAACCAGGGCTGACCCTGGCAAAAGGTACATTAGCCAATGCCAACTACTAGTGAAAACAGCGGGAGGTGGAAGCATTTGAAGCATCCTTTTCATGGGACTAAGGAGGAAGTAGTTTTAATTATTTTTTTTAAGTTGGAACCAATGGCTGTAAAATGCACTTACATGGCAAAGCCATCCTTCAATCCTGCATCATTAAGAATAGCTTCCAAAAAATTAGTGTATAGCACATATGGGCTCTCAGACACTTTCTTAGTCATATTAAAGCGTTAATTACATCCTGTAACAAATTAAAAGCCCAGGTAAAGCACAGATGTATCACACAATTATACTAGCATAAGGCAGAAAATGTTGCTTTGTGAAAAGGGCTGACAACACAGAATGTATTATATTGAATATATGATTACAGAAACACATGAATTAAAGACTACAGTATTATTTTAGACACTACTGGGCTGACTATCTGCTTTAGGTATTAAAAATCTGTATTACTTAAAGTTGCAAAGAAACAAATTAATGTTAGGATACATAAATACCTCTTACCCACAGTAGAGTCTACATTCTGTTTAGTAAGGACTGGTTGAAATAGGGTAACAGCTCCTAAAGAACAGCTTTAAGTCATCAACCAAACAACTTGCTTTCCTTTGCCTCTACTGTGATTATAGCAGCCGTACAGTAGTACTAAACTTAATCTTTAACCTTCCAGAACAACTGGCATTTGCAACTGAGATAATTTTAATAAACTTAGCACATGACAATATTGAAAATCCTATGTAAAAGTAAAGACTGTTCACAAATAAACCTATAGCTATTTGTGTGTGCTAATAGTTAATTGTCCAGCTCCAATCACACAGCTATCTATTGACCATCGTAACTGTTTCCTCTTAGTAGACTGCTCAGCAGCAGACTGAGCTCAAACAGCTCAGACAAAAGGTTGTCTGACAGCAGCAACAGCTTTCAGCAAGATACACACAGGAAGACAGACCTCAGTCATCTAAGTATTTCCAGCAAATTTCACTTGCCTCTAGCTCTTCAGGGTTCTTGTATGCTACAGAAAACTTTTCTGTAGACTTTTCTGAGATCCTGTGAAGGATGAGTACAAAAACCCTAATGGAAGAAAATGGTGCTAGGGGAGTTATTACACACTTGCCAACAGTGTTTTATTTGCATCAAGCTTTGAGAGGCCATATAGAATATTCTATTCTCCTGCAACAACTTTAGCATTTTCTTCCACACATTGTGCTCTGCAGGATCCATAAACATAAAAATTATATCCCAGTCTCTAAAACTGTTCTCTTACAAAGCTAGGAGAGAATTTTGTAAGTGCTGCTCTACAGTTGAACTCTCCTTCTTGGTGCCTCCAACATACATGATTTTTTTTTTTCAGACTTAAGATACTCAGGCAACTTTTTAAAGTATTTTCCAAAGTATTTTCTACCTGGTTCGCTAAGGTAAGAAAATATACACTTAGTTCATTCAAGCTTGTATCTTATACTTTAAGGAAATGCATTTTGAACTTGCCCTTGCCTCTGCCAACACTCAGCTAGTGACAGCTCTCTTCCTATCTGGTAGCAGAGTTAGTTTGGAAATGGTGAACTAAAAGCTAAAACTAAATGTATGCAACAAATTGAAAATAGAGGGTTAATTGCTGGTAACTTGACAGTCTGACTGAGCCTGTCCTGAAGCACAGTGCTTCAGTGTTCATCCTCAATATGCCTATTCATGTTTGATTTCCATCAAATGCATTTAACTATCCATTCTCCCCTACCGACTGCATTCCAAACCAAGATTTGATACTCTTTTCTGCTTCGTTTTGTACAGTTCATTGGTTTGTACTGCTCAAGAACTAAAACTACTATTAAAAAAAAAATCAGGTTTTAGTAAACACACACCACTTCAGTAGCTGAGGACAGGTCCCCTAAAAGCTGGTGATATGCAAGGACTCTTTAGTTATATTTAAAATATTCAGATCCAACTTAACTGATCCTTTTACAGACTAATGCTATGCATAAAATGCAGTGCATTAGGTAAATAGCATACCTGAAGATTTTTCAGCATCCTTCATGCATTGAACACGAGTACCACTAATCAAGTAGAAGATAGTTTCACATTATAAACTAAGTTACAGCATACCTTATATTACCACAAGAGCATAATTTCCTATATGAGATATTCACTGTTTGCTGCCACCTCTTCAAAGAACTGGCTGACAAATGGACCCACTTGTTTTAATTACTACATTTAGCTTTTATCTTATATAAGCAATAACATTGGGTGTCATTTACAAACCAAGCACTCTGCAGTATATTGAGGTTCATAATACACCCTCCTACTTTAAGGGTAAAAGATATTTGCCAAGATTTCAAGTTTCATTTAGTCTACACCTAGTTTCTGAACTGTGCTTGTAGATTCTACCCTTTTGAGACCAACACAGTAAACTGAAATACTAAAGAAATGCTATAAGAAATTAAGACTAGATTGTAGCTGAGCAATATGCTCTGATAGATACAGCTATCTCTGTGTTAAAATTCAGTACCAGCACAGAATTCCACCTAGGATGCATCAGAAATTATCTCCTTAACAAAAGAATGCTTAATTAGCATCCCAATATGAAGATTTTCTTCAGCATGAGACACTTTGATATCTGCATACCCAGATATACTTCATTCCTCGTGTACAGGGAAAGAATGATATAATTCTGTAGAACAAAGTCTTGTACAAACGTGAGCACAGCACATCCTCCTTCAGAAATGGTCCACACCTGAGCACCAACAGCAGATTTTCAGATACTGAACTATTCTTACAGTATCTATGCCAAACATGAGCTACAATACTCTTTAGAAACAAATCAAAATAAGGAAATCATCTCATTACATACTGATAAAGGGCAGTTAGAAACAACTGAAGAAATGGGCCATTCCCTTGTTTATAACCACTTACATTTTATTTTACAGTATATTTGTGACATTTTATGGTACTATAACCAAAGATCAGGGTTGTTACAAATATAATGGCTGCCATTTGATGTAAACAATTAAAAAGTGTCTCTGAATATTAAAATTTTACATCATGATCTTATTTCATTAAATTGAATTACTCTTTGTGCCATCAGTTATTAGTGGAGAGGAACTAATTTAAGCAAAAATAGTTTCCAGAAATTAGATGTAGAAACTGAGAAGCCTGGATAAGATTTCAAAAGACCACTCCCTCATCACTGTAAAAAGGAAGAAAGCAAATTCTTTCACTGAAGTTGCAATGATGAGTCAACCAAGTCCATTTGTATTAAGGCTTCTTTACATATTATTGAATCCCATCATGCCTTTCATATTGCCAGCAGCACCTTGTTGAAATTGTCTCATCATTGACTGCAAACCTGCCATGCCACCTGCAGAAAGTGAGAACATAATGTGTTAACTCTGAAGCCCAGCTCTCCTGCTCGAGGCCTCATTAAAGTACACACACTGTTTCAGTCACATACAAACGCAGAAGCCCAAGACTGTCGAAATAGGCTTAAACAGCTATTGAAAGTAAAAAACTGAATGACTAATTATAGAAGGGCCTGCAAAACACCAGGCTTAAAGTAAGTTTTACAATGACCTGTGCATTATGAACTAAATTAAAAACCTTGAAGGAATGACCAGTATCAATTAGTAAGGTTCTGGTATGGAAGTCTTTATTTAAAGCTGCTCTTATCAAATTTAATTACTTGAAGCAAAGCTTGGAAGGGAAGGGAAGTTTAGGCAGATTTGCTTTACCACAGTCATTCCTCAAGTCATCACTGTTCCCAGACACCATTCCAATTGCTCATTTTGGGAGCTGAATCCAAACGAAAAGGCTAGATTAAGC